GGTGCTGACAGACGCCGTCACATCTGTCCACTTCGTAGCTGTTGGGCCGATGATAGACACCCGGCATGTAATACTTGGACGGCATTTTGAGGGCAACCAATTGCTTACGCGGCGGTCGACAGAGAGACTGTCTGTGCAATGAATTGGATTCCTTCTTGAAATTTCTATCGCATCGAACTTCAACTAAACGCCAAGTTTATGATCATATGGTATAAGTTGTGGTTAAATGCATTATCAAATCAAATATTCATTTTGGAAGTTAATGTTTTACAACAATCAAAACATTTGTTTTACATAGAAATCTAATTTTATTGAGAATTTGTTGCAAACAAACATGAAATCAATGCACTTAAAAAAATTGTCGTTTAAATATTCTGTTGGCAACAATTTTTAATTACATTTCTACACAATTTTCTCAACGGAACACCACTTCCAGTAATGAATGAAACAATTTTCAATTGCTTTCAAATAAATGGAAATAATTGTGACAATGATTAACAAAGTGTTACACAAATACCTGCACTCATGTCTTCGTTAAAGTCGTCCGCATTTACGGTCAGATATCTTTCATTTACGGAATCGCCGTCTAATCTCTTGTGTCGACTCTTTTCACAGTAAGTAATGGCAATAAAAAGACACAAAACAGAAAAAAGCGAACAGATATTGTGTTTTCTAAAATAATTCATTGCTTTTTATTATAATATTAAATTAAATTAAATATAATTATAATTTAAAATATATTTATAAATGAATTGTTGTTTTGTTCGACAAGTGTTTTATACAGTTCTGTAATGGCTTTAAAGAACCCAATAGTAAATGATAAACTTTAACGAAATACTAAACATATTATAATATAAAAATCATGAAAAACGTAAAACGGAATTTCATTTCCTTTAAGTCACGGAAATTAAGTGCAAAAACAATAGTGTGTTTGACATCAGATGTGAATCACAATTAATCCAAATTAGACGTCAAATCGAGACAACGCTTATGACATAATAACGTGAATATAAAACAATTTTCGGTTTCATTTGGTATTGGATTCAAAAAAGTTTTGTTGCCTTTTATATACAAATTCGCAGAAATTTTCTCTCTATAATACAAATTACCGGTAATTTAAGAAAAACTATCATTTATGAGAACATCTTCGCGTAGGCCTTCCGTTCCCTCGCTTTGTAGGCCTCAATCTCTCCGTTAACGGCCGCCAACTCTGACGATATGGACTTGTCGTTCGGCGCCAGAGTTTGCGCTCTCTTTAGATCCGCTAAACTTTTCTCGTACTCTCGTCGCCCGTGAAAGGCCTGACCCCTCCTGTAAAGAGCCTTTGCATTGTCGGGTCCGATGTCTAGCGCTTCGTTCAGCACTTCCAGCGCCGCGTCATATCGTTTAAGTCTCAGAAGACAGGCCGCGCTTCGGGGCATAAATCAAACATATATTACCGTATATTAAACTTTAGAATTAAATCATAAATACCTATTGAGAAGACATGGAAGTTCTTGAGCGACAACACGTTTAGTAATGTCATCGTTGAGGTCATTGTCGTGCAATTTATTCAAATAACGCAACGCTTTCTTGTATTTACTGTTGGCGTTAACAATGTCTTCATTCTTGAAACACATATTTCCAGCGGTTTTGATCTTTTCGCCGATTTGTAAGATCTGATCGATCTGTTGGACAACATATCAATAAGTAAGACATGACTGCCTTAAGGAATCATTTATCAAATCTATTGCAAACCGAAGTAAAATCTAAGTCAGAATCCTCTGGAAATGAAGGGAACACATCTTCAGTGCCATCGTTTATAATCAGATTCCAATCCTCTCCCGCTTTGAATTGTCCGCAATCAGAGACAACACATTTCTGCAAATCATGTCAACAAAAAATAAACATTTAATAAAATGCAAAATTAGACAAAAATAGAGAGCAAATTACTTCTAATGGGACGTCACCATCGGTTCGCACGCTCTCCAAGTGCTTCACAACGCCTAACCCTCTGACCACTTGTCCGAAGACCACATGCTTTCCATCCAAATGAGGGGTCGCGACAGTTGTGATGAAGAATTGGGAGCCGTTAGTGTTGGGGCCGGCGTTTGCCATACTTAAGATACCGGGTTTGTCGTGCTTTAGAGGACACAAATCAAAGCAAATTAATACACAATACACTCAACAGTGAGTGTCCATCGAGTGATGTCTGACCTTAAGCTCAAAGTTTTCGTCTTCAAACTTCTCGCCGTATATACTCTGACCGCCGGTTCCGTTAAAGTTAGTGAAGTCTCCGCATTGAACCATAAATTCACGGATTACTGAAACAAATAGCAAAACAAAACACATATGAGTGAGTGAACGGTCAGACAATGTAATCCAATGGATATATACTTCTGTGAAAAATGGATCCCTTGTAGTGAAGAGGTTTTCCCTGAGAGCCGACACCCATTTCACCCGTACATAAGGCGCGGAAGTTTTCGCACGTCTTCGGCACCACATTAGTGAACAACTCGACGAAAAATGATTTGAAAGTACGGCTCCATAAGGGGACGATTACCACCGATATTCCCGATGACTTGAGTCGCGACCAGAAGTTGAATACTTTGCGCGAAAAGTTCCCGAAAGCGGAGAGCAATCATTTAAATGAGATTCTGGACGCGTGTCACGAAGACCTGAGATGGGCTCAGAAGTTGTTGAGCGAACTCAACGACGACCACTTTGATATCGGATCTCTGGAACAGTTGTCACCGACGGGTACCGATCGTATCAGTAGTCCTGAAATAGACTCGGAGTCGACGTCTAATTCTGGAGAAGAGGAACAGTTGGAACTTATAGTCAACCGAAAGGACTCAGAAGAGCCGGAGTTTGTGCTGACACTCGACCCGTTACTCGCAGCTCAGCTTCAGTCACAATTCGGTGACATAACCGATGCGTTGACTGATGAAGACCTGACCATCACTTTAAGCCACGGCGTCGCTCGTCTTCTGCACCACACGTGGAAGAAGTCATTAAATCAGAAATCATTAAATAATAACACGACTAAACCTCAAAGTATTAATAATCATAACAACAATAATATTGGTAATCGTATTAACAAAGTGTCAAAAAATAAGAAAAAAGAGTTTACGTTTGAAGTGAATACACCTAAGAGTGAATTACAAGAGATTATGGACTTAGAGTTAGCCAAAGACCTGAGTCGACGCGAATACGACGACAAACTTAAAAACGGAGCCAATTCTTCGTGCGAATCGATCCGAGAAAAGACCAAAGATTTGTTTGCAACGAAACTAAAGAGGGATCAGTTATACCAAAGATATCCCGGAGTTGACCAAAACTTTTTGGACTCTATATTTGATTCAAATAAGTATGTTATGAATGTTTGATCGATATTTGATTGAAGAATAGACTAAATAATAAGATGATTGTTAATGACGTGTTGTTTTTTTGTTTAGGTATTGTTTGGGGAAAACAATTGATTGTTTGGACAACTCATTGGGATTGGACGACGACTTTAGCAAAGAAACCGAAGTTTTGATCGCTCAGGAGAGGAATGGATCATCGAATGGTTCGCCATTGAATGGCAGTCGCTCTTCGTCTCCGGTCAAAGCTGTCCGCAAAGTCGTCGATATAAACGCAAACATTTCGCAAATCAATGATTTGGTGGTAAAGAAGAAGGAATTGCACGATAAGGCGCGGCTCGCCTTCCAGAGGAAGATGTTTGCCGTCGCCTCTTATTATGGCGGAGAAGCCATGAAATTTCAGTCACAGATCGATCGACTCGGAGTCGAAACAGTGGACGCAATACTCATTAATAGGTACTGTATTTGGTTTATTAGTAAATGTCTTATTATTGAATAATTTGCATAATTTATATCTAATTTGAATGCAATGTGTATTTATAGCACAAACTCTAATGAACTCGATTTACACGGTCTTCACATCCCGGAAGTGAACTCTATATTATCGGCATATTTTAACCGGAAGTCCGAAGAATTGAGACGAAGTCTTGGCAAAAGGAAACTAGTGTTGGATATAATCACCGGTTATGGCGCCACCAAAGGAGTCCAGGGAAGGATCAAACCCACAGTCATCCAGTATTTAAAGCAAAAGAATTTTACGTACGTATCGATCAATACCCAGTAATCACTGATACCTATTGCCTATTGAATGTAAGCATTATTTTGTTTAATTTGCGTCAAACAGTTTCGAAATGGTGAATATGGGTGTCATTCGCGTCACATTAACTCAATAATCACCGTCTCATTCAATCCTAAAGAGCTTTTTTATACACTATTTTAATGCAATCACTCGTTCGGTAATCATTAAGTAAATCATTTATTTTAAATAGTATTCAATTTACTATACAATACAATGTATAACATTTGTATAAATTCTTATGTTTTTATTATATTTTCAGAATATATATAAATTTTTATTAATGTAATGCATGGCTGAGAGTAGTTATAGAAAATTAATTTTTATTAATATTTTATATTAATTATTAATGAACTTAAAGGACAATGTATTGTCCAATTTATTGTCCTTATGTTTGCAAACATCTGGAAATAAAATAAAAATATAATTGTTTTACTTATACTATTGACTGAATTGAATGGCAAGAATTGGTTGAGAATTACTGACCGACAGGTGGTCTCATCGAAAAGGGCACCGGAAGAGCAGTCTCTGGAAGTGGTGGGCGGACACACGCACTGACACTTCTCGTTAGACCACATTCGGTTCTTCTGGGAACAGGTCTTGGCCTGACTCGTGTCTCTGCACTCACAGGCGCACCGGTCCTCCGAAAAGATCTGCTTTTCGTTACAGTTCTTAGCGCTCATAACGCACTGACAGCTGCAGAGGACGTGCTTTTCTACTTTGATTCGCATACACTTCTCGGGAGGAACTGATTGGCGCGTCGCTCGACTTCCGGCGTTCAACAAACGGCTATAAATCTGTTTGGAAATGCATTGAATCAATAAATTGCTACATTAGTGGCAACCAAATGGTTAGTTATACAAAGTCTGAAGTGACGGGCACTTCAATGATCTGCTTTTCAATGGGAAGGCACATATGGTTCGGGTGCTGACAGACGCCGTCACATCTGTCCACTTCGTAGCTGTTGGGCCGATGATAGACACCCGGCATGTAATACTTGGACGGCATTTTGAGGGCAACCAATTGCTTACGCGGCGGTCGACAGAGAGATTGTCTGTGCAGTGAATTGGATTCCTTCTTGAAATTTCTATCGCATCGAACTTCCACTAAACGCAAAGTTTATGATCATATGGTATAAGTTGTGGTTAAATGCATTATTAACTCTAGTATTCATTTTGAAAGTTAATGTTTTACAACAATCAAAACATTTGTTTTACATAGAAATCTAATTTTATTGAGAATTTGTTGCAAACAAACATGAAATCAATGCACTTAAAAAATTGTCGTTTAAATATTCTGTTGGCAACAATTTTTAATTACATTTCTATACAATTTTCTCAACGGAACACCACTTCCAGTAATAAATAAAACAAATTTCAGTTGCTTTCAAATAAATGGAAATAATTGTGACAATGATTAAGAAAGTGTAACACAAATACCTGCACTCATGTCTTCGTTAAAGTCGTCCGCATTTACGGTCAGATATCCTTCATTTACGGAATCGCCGTCTAATCTCTTGTGTCGACTCTTTTCACAGTAAGTAATGGCAATAAAAAGACACAAAACAGAAAAAAGCGAACAGATATTGTGTTTTCTAAAATAATTCATTGCTTTTTATTATAATTTTAAATTAAATTAAATATAATTATAATTTAAAATATATTTATAAATGAATTGTTGTTTTGTTCGACAAGTGTTTTATACAGTTCTGTAATGGCTTTAAAGAACCCAATAGTAAATGATAAACTTTAACGAAATACTAAACATATTATAATATAAAAATCATGAAAAACGTAAAACGGAATTTCATTTCCTTTAAGTCACGGAAATTAAGTGCAAAAACAATAGTGTGTTTGACATCAGATGTGAATCACAATTAATCCAAATTAGACGTCAAATCGAGACAACGCTTATGACATAATAACGTGAATATAAAACAATTTTCGGTTTCATTTGGTATTGGATTCAAAAAAGTTTTGTTGCCTTTTATATACAAATTCGCAGAAATTTTCTCTCTATAATACAAATTACCGGTAATTTAAGAAAAACTACAATTTATGAGAACATCTTCGCGTAGGCCTTCCGTTCCCTCGCTTTGTAGGCCTCAATCTCTCCGTTAACGGCCGCCAACTCTGATGATATGGACTTGTCGTTCGGCGCCAGAGTTTGCGCTCTCTTTAGATCCGCTAAACTTTTCTCGTACTCTCGTCGCCCGTGAAAGGCCTGACCCCTCCTGTAAAGAGCCTTTGCGTTGTCGGGTCCGATGTCTAGCGCTTCGTTCAGCACTTCCAGCGCCGCGTCATATCGTTTAAGTCTCAGAAGACAGGCCGCGCTTCGGGGCATAAATCAAACATATATTATATGAAACGTTAGAATTAAATAATAAATACCTATTGAGAAGACATGGAAGTTCTTGAGCGACAACACGTTTAGTAATGTCGTCGTTGAGGTCATTGTCGTGCAATTTATTCAAATAACGCAACGCTTTCTTGTATTTACTGTTGGCGTTAACAATGTCTTCATTCTTGAAACACATATTTCCAGCGCTTTTGATCTTTTCGCCGATTTGTAAGATCTGATCGATCTGTTGGACAACATTTCAATAAGTAAGACATGACTGCCTTAAGGAATCATTTATCAAATCTTCAAATGTATTGCAAACCGAAGTAAAATCTAAGTCAGAATCCTCTGGAAATGAAGGGAACACATCTTCAGTGCCATCGTTTATAATCAGATTCCAATCCTCTCCCGCTTTGAATTGTCCGCAATCAGAGACAACACATTTCTGCAAATCATGTCAACAAAAAATAAACATTTAATAAAATGCAAAATTAGACATAAATAGAGAGCAAATTACTTCTAATGGGACGTCACCGTCGGTTCGCACGCTCTCCAAGTGCTTCACAACGCCTAACCCTCTGACCACTTGTCCGAAGACCACATGCTTTCCATCCAAATGAGGAGTCGCGACAGTTGTGATGAAGAATTGGGAGCCGTTAGTATTGGGGCCGGCGTTTGCCATACTTAAGATACCGGGTTTGTCGTGCTTTAGAGGACACAAATCAAAGCAAATTAATACACAAAACACTCAACAGTGAGTTAGACATCGAGTGATGTCTGACCTTAAGCTCAAAGTTCTCGTCTTCAAACTTCTCGCCGTATATACTCTGACCGCCCGTTCCGTTAAAGTTAGTGAAGTCTCCGCATTGAACCATAAATTCACGGATTACTGAAACAAATAGCAAAACAACACACATATGAGTGAGTGAACGGTCAGACCATGTAATCCAATGGATGTATACTTCTGTGAAAAATGGATCCCTTGTAGTGAAGAGGTTTTCCCTGAGAGCCGACACCCATTTCACCCGTACATAAGGCGCGGAAGTTTTCGCACGTCTTCGGCACCACATTAGTGAACAACTCGACCACAATTCGACCCACTATTGCATCCATACATACAAAATGACAATTAATGACATGATATTCAAAATGAGATTAAGTTTTGGGGAAAAAGACATTTTCAAAATCAAATCAAAAGTAAGTGTTTGGAGAGAAACACAAGTGAGTGACAGAAGAGGAATGGGTCTCAAGAGTGGCGCTCATATGGGATGTGTTAGGGATAGGTGTTTGTATGGCACGTATGGCTATGGATGTGATGACAATCATTACCGAACTCTTCGCCGACTTTGACGTCGAGAAAGACGTGAAGGGATTGTCCGCACGTTTTGTCCGCCATTTCTCTCTTATGAATGCATTTTTAGTGCGAAAAACAGTTTTCACAACAAAACAAAACTCCTCTTTCACTGCAATTACGTCACGTTATCTATGGATTGCCCCCAAAAACACTCAACCCCTGCCAATGCCAGCGCTGTTTAGGCCGAGTCCGCAAACTTTGAGATCACTTCACTCTCATCCATGTCTTTGGAGTGGATCTTCTCCTCAAGAGTAGTGGCCATCAATTGGTCCCATTCGGTGATGTGGTTCGTGTGGAGCGATGGATCAATTGGCGGATATTGAATGTGCAACAGATGCCACCTCTTGTCCCCCTCGCTCTCTCTCTATCACACACTTTACGCCCCCTTTTAAGCCCTTTAAACGCCTCTCAAAAAAGTTTTAATCAAAAAGTTTTGTCAAATACTCTTTGCATTGAATTTATGTTTTAATTGAATTTATAATTTGAATAAATGATTGCTTTTTACAATTAATTGCTTTTGACTTTTAATGAGTTTTTGTGTGACATTTGAAGACATTTTGAGTTATATTTTGTTTGTTTTTTGGTAAACAGTTTTGAGTAAACATTGAAATCAATGATTGATTGCATGAATGATAAGAGTTGTGGCGTTTCTTTGGTTATTATCTCATTGTTATTGTTTATGGCATTCATTGCCGTATAAAACAGCTATCAATTGAATACTGTCTCCGAAGACAATAGTGTTGTCTATCGATTGAGTTCTTCGTATAAACCGATGATATGTCTGACGGTATGTCTGACGCAAAGCCAGCCCTGGATTCAGAGTCGGCGACACCACATGTGGTCGAAACACATCAATTGAAACTATGGTCACAGATATCGGCCAAAGATTTGCAAGATTTACGCCTATTGAGCGCCGACGAGAAGATCCACGAAACGAGTCCTTTCCCTTTCTCGCCGCAAATCAACTCAAAGATCGCCCTCTGGTTTGGAGACATCACTCAATTGGCTGTCACTGCGATCGTCAACACCACTAATGAACACTTTAGTGAGGTATTTGTCCATCAGATCCATACATACTTTAGTGAGAAGTAGAGGAATGAGTATTTCATATCTTATTTTATTTATTCAGAGATCTCTTCTCAACGAAAGGATTCTCTCGAAGGGTATGTTTACTGTCGAGGAATTGACATTTGCAGACATGTATTAACTCAATGGTTTCGATTGACAGGCGGACCACAAATGAGACACTTTCTGACCGAAAAGGTGAGGGTTTGTAAGACAGGGGACGCGAAACTGACCAAAGGCTATGACCTTCCGGCCCGTTATGTGGTCCATACGGTTGGCCCGAAATACAACTCCAAATACCATACGGCGGCTGAAAACGCATTGTATAACTGCTACACAAAAGTACTTCAGATCAGTCGAGACAACGGCTTCTCTTCAGTGGCTTTCTGTGCCATTAATACCCCGAACAGAGGTTATCCGCGACAGTCGGCCGCACACATCGCCCTACGAGTGGTCAGACGTTTTCTGGAGCACTACAGCGACTCCGTCGACATCATTGTGTTCGCTGTCGATGACGTCGATATCGGGTTTTATCAACTTTTAATGCCACTGTATTTTCCGCGCTCTCATCCCGAAGAGGAGTACGCACTCTATTATCTGCCGCAAGATGTGGGCGGAGAGTACGGCGAACCCGTCATTCCCGAGCGGGAGATCAGAATCGCCGCCAAACCCAACACATTGTCCACCATTGAAGAGAGCGTGGATTTGTCGAGCGGTTTGGACACATCGGTTGCTGTGGGAAAGACAACGTTTGCCAAAATGCACGGAGACTTAGATAAGAGACGCAAACGACAGCCAAATCCCATCAAAGACGGCGATCCCATGACTCAAGAGATTCAAAGGGGACACAAATACGAGCGTCTGTTACGCAAAGCCAAAGCCGAAGATTTTAGTGATTATATCAACGCTCGGTGTTTATACATATCGGGCGAAGACTCAATGGGCAGACCTATTGTTGTAATGATTGGCAAACGGTTTACGGCGTCGACAATGTGTAACGAGAGGACAGTCATGTTTTTGATTCGTTTACTCGATTCGGTTGTCGTTAAGGAATATATTGTGATATACTTTCATAGTCTGACCCAAAAGGAAAACCTGCCGCCCATTAGTTTTGTCCAAAACATCTATAATCTATTGGGATATGAATACAAGAAGAATTTGAAATGCTTTTACGTAATCCATCCGTCGATTTGGTGTCGAGTGATCTGTTGGTGGTTCACGACATTCAACGCCGCGATTCTTAAGCGCAAACTGTTTTGTGTCGGAGGCGTCGAATTTCTTAAGGTTTTGTTTAGCTTTTTTATGATTTCTTTTTTTTATATTGTAATTCAATTCGCAATTTATGCGAATATAATGCTGTAATCAGTTATTTGATTGACGGTAACAATAATTTGTGTCACTTTGTATTGTTATGCCATTTATGCAACTGGTGTCGGAACCGCACAGAATGTGATACCATTACAAGAGCTACAGGTGCCGTCGTTTGTCATGGATTACGATTTCAAGGCAATGATTGCATTTATTTTTAACCAAAGCTAACAATTGCTAACTCTCTTAACGCATATGATCTCGTAATTAGGTTAATGGCGTTCGTTATAGTGAAGTGCATTCACCACAACAGCAAACAAATGACAATTTATAGATACAATTGAGAGAAAACAGTCGCCAAAATCATGAGTAAAAGCATTTCATTACTTTCTTCTTTCTCTCTGTCTTTCTCTCTGTAATAATTACACGAAAAGACAAACTTTTTCCTGAAAATAAGGGAACAAATTGGTCGCAAAAGAAGTGTTTAATTTTAATTAGTAATTAAAAAATTAATTAATTATTTAAACGATTTTCTATACAAGCAATTCATAATGTTTTCGGTATAATTCATTGTGAACTGTCTCCTAATGTTTAGCTATTTTTTCTATTACCGTATAAACAATTTTTGTTTTATTTAACTTATTTTTTGTTGCTTTAATTTTGTTTTTCTTATTTCAATAGAAATTAGAGATAAAACATAAGCAAAAATAAAAATTCAATTTATTTTCATTGAGTCCATCGTCTGTCTCTCCCTTTCGCTTTCTTCCACCCGTTTCTCTCAAACCATATATTTTTTCAATGATATACTGTATTATTGTTACTTTGATATGAGATTAAGAATATAATTATGCGATTATTATTTGTATTTGATATACAGTTAGAATTCAGTGAAATGTTTTGATTGATTTGCCAAATAATATGATTGTATTTTTTAATAAGATATTTTGATTGAATAGTTTTTTATTGTGAATGAAATGATTTTCTTACTAAAAAATCAATGCATAATATATGAGGAAATGAAAAACACAAATATAATTGAATGTATGATTACAACGAAACCCTCAGACAATCATTGATCTATAAATTCCCATAAAAATACCTCAATATTATTATTACACTTATTATTATTGTTGTAATATTACATACCATTAATTGTAAAACCTTTGTCTTAAATATTGTTTTTATAAAAATCTATTTAATTATTATAATAATTAGTTTTTATTCGATATTTATATGAATATTTATCAAATGTTGTAATGATTTTATAAATCTGTTGTTTAAGTGTTGAATATAGACTTATAGACTATAAGTTATAGTGATTACTGTATCAAAAAATAGATTGTTTTACAATTAAGGCTTATATTAAGTTTTATATGAAAATTAAATGTTAAAAATAAATAAAGCATTTATTAATTTCCTATAAACTCGAGCATTAAATATTTTATTTAAGGTATACTTTAATTTAATGATGTAATTCAATAATTTTTACATTATATGTTTGCCGATATATGCCGTAGATATACTGTATTTAATTGGTATCATGAACAATTACTCTTAAATTATTGGCCGCTCACTTATCCATCTTCTGGAATAGTAATGTTGCCATTATTTGTATAATCGATTGGTGGCTGAACTATGGCTAAAATGGTATCACCAGTTGATGTATCCGCAGACTTTTCCCTTCTGTTTGCATTGATATTCACTTAGATTTACTGATGAATTGATTTAATAATACTAGTATAATGTCAATGATTGACCATGCTACATTACTACAAAAATATCTATATTGATTAATTGTATTTAAAATAGTGGTCGATCCTCATTATTGATTACAAATTATAATTATAGTACAGAATATGGGGTTTTTTATTGTTAGTGAAAAGTTTTCTTATTAAAAAGTAATTTTATGATTAATACAAGAATATATTCAGAGAAATTCTTATATTGTGTGCAAAAATGTTTGCCGAGATTATATTCAATTATGTAGTGAATGGGGGCTTAAATATAAAATAAGTGCATAAACCAATTTAATTAACCAATAAAATGAGAATAATTTTATATCAATAGCATGTAAACCAAAATATATTAATTAAATTGTAATAAAATATAACACATTTATGTATTTTTATTGTTACGGTAAATGATTTTTCTGTTTATTGTTTATAAAACAGTTAAATAATAAATAATTAAATAATAATTTAGTTTTGTTTAATAAGTTATTCTTAGAAGAAATAAATTTTCGCCAAACACTTGTGTTTTTATTGAACACTTTCTTTCGGTCAAATCGATAGTAAGTCTTAATTAATTAATAAGTTTATGGTTTATATTTCTATTAAATTTCACAAATGTTTTGATGAAATTTACTCTCATTTGTTATCTGCGCTCATAATCTTATCTTTGCTACTATTATGCGATTTCAATATAAATGCATTATTTTGATCACATTTCATATTCAGTGCATTTATTCTTTGGTGCAATTAATATCACATTTTGGCACTTTTGCCCGATTTTATTGTTTGTATTTCCTTTTTTGATTAATGCATTAATTAATTAAACATTTAATTATTTATAATCTATTATTTGTTCAGCATATCTGCACTTAATTCACTATCTTTACAGAATCTTCAGTTATCATTACTGGCAATAAATATAGCAATCAATTAGACCTCATAGCGAAAGCGCTTGTATATCAGTGAAACATCTTAGGGATAGACCATTGTTTCTGATTAGTTAGTTATCAGTGACAATACTAGTATCAGTGCTCATAATATCTTATTGTAATAATATTTTTGTCCACACAATAGAAGCAATAATTTACTAATTATTATTATATTTATTATTTAATGAATTGTTTTTCTCAAACAATTTTGAATATTATATAAATTAAGTAATTGTTTCAATAAGGAAATGATTTATGGATACAATTATTTCTATATATGATTATTAATGAAAAATATTGGCGAAATTATATGCATTTATTTTTATTGGAGAAGTCTTTATGCAGAATATAATGTATAATGAAATGAGAAAAACAATGAATGAAATGTAACTTAATATAAATGAATGAAATAATTGGTTCGTAAGTATTATTATATATTGTTATCGTTCAGTAATTTTACGTTTAAATTGTTGTTTTGTGAGTCAAGACATAAGACATAATACGGATTAAGAGTGAAAAATATCACAATTTAAGTAAAAATAAAAATTAATAATTGTTTTGTATGTTTGCAATGGGAGTGAGAAATGAAATGTTGAAAAAAAGTTGGCTTTCATTTCAACATTCTTTAGAAGGACGAGAAGGACGTTCAACAACACTACTCTCTCTCTCTCTCTCTTTCTCTTTCATGCTTTAATAAATATTATTATATTATTTTCAATTAAAGGCTTTNTCTCTCTCTCTCTCTCTCTCTCTCTCTCTCTCTCGTCTTAATGTTTGAAAGTTTTAAACTGAACGAGAATGGACTCAAATCAAGTGAACCAAAAACTAAACCAAAAAATAAATCAAATAACAAACAGGAAGAGTAAAACACAGTATAAGAGTATAAAAGTTTAGCATTTCTACAATTTATAATACATGTATTACTGTCTAAAAGTACCGATACCTAAGTTTTAACAGTATTTGATACAAATATCACATTTGTATAAAAGTATTAAAAAATTAATTTAAACCAAAATTCTTATTACGCTTATTATAACTGAAATTATATCCAATTTTTCTATTCATTATTTATAATTGAATTGAAATTGAGTTTTTAAGCAAATAAATCACTTCTCTTTAAATAATAAATGAAATGAAATGTAGCACAGGTTGTAATGCTGTACCACTGGTTGTGATTTGTATATATAATCATTAATTGTTGTCAATTACCGTATTGTCATGTAATATCGATTACTGTCTAATAATCATTTTTCTTTGTATTATTTTATATTATGTTTGCTTTTCTTTCCTTAATATGAGAAACAGTTTTCTTTGAGATTAAAATCTTCAAAATTGTGATCTAAATGAGTGGTGTTATCACTAATATTGATAACATTTAGAGAAACATTAGTATAGATATCGTATTGAAGAGCGAGAGAGAGAGAGAGAGAGAGAGAGAGAGAG